ATATCTAAGTTGCTAATGCATTGTGATCAAGGAATCTTGTCTGCAAATTTTATAATTGAAAATCATGCTCTTTTTTTTTTTCTTTTTTTTGTGGTGAATTTGAAAATCATGCTTAGTAAATGCTTTAATGGAAAAAGTTCAACATTAGTCTCAAAATGGTAAAACAAGGAAGTTTAAATTAAGAATAGATTTTATCGTTCTTTAATTTGGAACAGTATGATTCATTTTTAAAATAGTTTACTTGCAAAATTGATCGAGAATAGTTTAGTTCTTTTTCTTTCTTTTTTGGTTTTTGTAGAAATGTTTATTTTTTTATATATATATATATTTTTCCATTTTTGATTGATGTATTTGATTTCAATTGCTTTCCAATTCTTAGCCATGAAAGCATGTGTGCTATACATAGCTTTGTATTGACAACAGCTATATTTTTAGGCCAAAGAAGAGGTAGAGCTCCCTGAGTACATTCTTGGAACTGTTTGACTGAATCGTGTGAAGCTCCACTCTGCTGTACCTTTTGAAGTTTGAAATATTTTGATGCATCAACATGCTTTGATCATCATATTTACAGAAATAATTGGCATTATTGTAACCGGGTGCATTTCAATGATTTCCAGATTCTGGTGTGGATGATTGTTCTTATAATTTGCACCAGACATTGAAAATTCAATCATAGATCACCCAACATTGGTTCCAATGAGTATTTATTCAATCTTAGATGCTATCTTCTCTATTTGGTTTTTCTTTTTCAGCCTTTGATTTTCTTGTAATGACTAAAGCTAAATACTCTTTCAAATTGAGATGATAACTTAAGAGAAGTCAAACCTTTTAAAAAATATATCTAGTTTTTATACCTAAATGGCAACGTTCTCATTAAGGAGTTATTTGAGATGATCCAAATAAGTATATTTTTTTTACTTTTAATGAAAAGATATAAAAATAAAAATAAAAATGTGATATGATCCAAATAAATAAACTTATTTAATTTATACCAAATAATACCTAAATTATTAATTTTTCCCTCATACCCCACTTCCTTTCATTCTCATTTATTTTTATTTTTATTTTTATTTCTTTGGGTTTGAAGAAAGTGGCCTTTCATTCTCACTTTTATTCTCTTTTCAACACACATCACACATTTATTCTCACCTTTTTTTTTTTTTTTTTTTTTTTTTTAATTTTCTTTCCCTTTTCTTATCTCAATATGATACAGATTGTTTGGTAATAGGGTTTCTAGAACTCATGATAAAGGTACAAAGGATCGGTAAATGCAAAATAGCAGTTCTTGAAATGGTATAAATTTGGTCGAGATATGAAAAATGGTGTGGAAATCAATACTCATTGTTTTGCCATGGCCAATAATGGATTTCGAACACGTTTCATTATTTAGATATCAATTTCGTAATATTGGCATTTTTTAAAATCAATTGATTCACCTATAATTCAATAAAGTCTTCTTAGTAACAATCTAATCATAGAGATGGAAGGAGTGCAAACGATTAACATGGTGATGAGTAATAAAAAAAAAGATTAAAGAAAAAATGATAGGCAGAGAAATGCTCGAAGCCTCGCCCTCTCCAACCTAGATAGGAGATTTTAATTTAAAAAATAAATAAATAAATAAAGTGGGTAAAATTTCTTAAAGCGTGAAAGAATTTACCCTTGGGTTATTACAATATGAGAGCCTCTTTTGTATGGGACCAATTAAAAATTTCCTTTGGTTTATATTGTCCTCTTCAGTGGTCCCACAGGTAGTGTTGTCTGATCAACAGCGAATTGTAATAGGAAATTAGGAATACCGCCTTTTGTCACCCACCATTACAATTTACAAGAATTCAAGATTTTAAAAACAAAAATTCCGAATAAATTTATTTTTTTAAGTATTAAATATTTTTAACACTATAAGTGTTATGATTTAATTTTTGGTGATAAAATTGAATATTTAGTAATAAATTATTAACCTTTTGAGACTAGAAGTTTGTCTTACAAGCAAATACTTTTGGAACCAACTTATGTTGACGAGACTAACTTTTAATGACAATCCTTTCGACAACTGAAATTAGTCCTTAAATATTTTTTGTAACAAAAATTATACATTTAGAGACCAAAAAAAAAAAAAAAGTTTCTAAAACTCTTGTATGTTGTAGAGCATGTTGATTGAAGCTAGAAAAAATGATGGGAGACTTACGTGTAGCTCCTAATAGATAGACTTATAGTCCAACACGTTTTATGATAATTAATGACATTTTTTATCAAACATTATTAAAAAATGTCACTAATTGTTAATTTTCAGTGACAGTTTGGAAATTGTGTCACAAAATATGTCACTAATTATAAGTTTTAGCGACTATTTAAAAAAATTGTCACAAAAAGTCACTAATTTCAACTTTTAGCGACAGTTTGAAAATTTTGTCACAAAAAACGTCACTAATTCTAAGTTTTAGTGACAATTTATAAAAACCATAATAACAAAAAGTCACTAATTGTCAATTTTTAGCGACACATGTAAAAAATGTCACGAAAATTATTTTTAGCGACAATTTTATAAGGATTTATTTTCAATAGGATTTGATGGAAATTAAATTTAACTAGTATTTATTGGTAGTTTACATATGGGGAGTTACATATAGGTCCTAATAGGTGGATTTATTATCCAATAAGTCCTGTAAGAATTAATGGTGTTTCATCAAATACTATTAAAAAATGTAACTAATTATTAATTTTCAGCTATAGCTTGAAAATTTTGTTACAAAAGCATTACTAATTATAAGTTTTAGTAATAGTTTAAAAAAATTGTCAAAAAAAGTCGCTAATTTTCTAGTTTCAACGATAGTTTGAAAATTTTGTTACAAAAGAGTCGCTAATTGTAAATTTTAGTGACAATTTATAAAAAATTTGACAAAAAAGTCATTAATTATCAATTTTCAGCGACATATGCAAAAAATGTCATAAAAAATTATTTTTAGCGACAATTTTACTATGACTTATTTTCAATAGGACTTGATTGGAATTAAGTCTAACTTTTGGATCTATTGATAGTTTAGAAGCCTATTTTTTAGATTCAATAAATGTGTAAGTAAGATAATTAAAATATATATAAGATAGAAAAATAATATAGGAGTGATTAGTTGATTGATTATTGGGTTTGAAAAGTGAATTCAATTTTTTAGTTAGAATAGTACTGCTCTTCAAGTTATGGTGGCTTTAATTAATGAATGCGAGAAGATTCTTTGAAAGTCTAGAGGCGTTGTTCGGGTTTATAAGGCTCATTACAGATTTTGTTTCAATGATTTTAATCATTTATTTTTTTTAAAAAAATATTATGTATCATCTATAAAAAAAAATAAAAAAATTAGGTCATTCTAAAAATTATAACGTATTTATTTTATTAGGTTTTTCTTTAAAAGAAAGAACAAAGGAAAATTATATCAACAGCCCCTGCATTTTGTCGTTTGTGTCATTTTAGTCCTTATAATTTTAATTAACTCAATTTTAACTCTTAATTTTAGTTTTTGCATCAATTTGATCAAATTGATAACAACGCTAAAGTTTTTGATAGAACTAAATTAATTGATATTAACTTACTAAATTGATTAAATTTATAATTTTAAACATCACACATTCTACTTGTACACATATGAAAAATACCAACAATTAAAATCAACTGGACTGATAACATCATTTTCGTTGCCCACAAGTACATCACCAACATTGTCACCCAAAGTTTCTGCAGCTATTAAATTTTTCTCTCTAAAATATTTCTTTTCATTCATAGAATGAAAAATTCCAAAAACAATAAACAAATCAATTTAATGTCTTCCAAAATAGAGAGGTCAATCCAGCCAATCCAAAACACAGTCATCATCACCTTTTCACATTTAATTTTCTTTAAGGTAAAGAAAGATATAGATAATTTTAAAGAGAAGTGGATCATTAGTAAGAGTGAGGATCCCCTCCTTGACTCTTCTCCTTCATTTCCTCCGTGTAATGGCTGAGATTAGCCGTTGCAGATCCAACGGCTAAAAAAAAAAAAAAATTCTAAAATTGCAATTTCAATTTCTCACCCAAACGAAAATACAGGTTATACAGCTTTTGTGTATCATTCTCACCCAATCCCTTTCGAGCTCACCCTCTTTCTCCTCCACCGAACCCACCCTCACCGGCGACCCACCTTTACCGGCGACCCATCCCCGACGACGGCGAGAAGCTCTTCAAACCCAACCGGCCGACGCCTTTCCTTGATTCTCCTTATACATGCAAGCTCTCTCTCTCTCTCTCTCTCTCTCTCTCTCTGTTTTAGGAATGAGATTTTGACTATGCAATGCTTCATGACCTGAACTTGGTTCAACCTATTTTTTATTTTGTATTTGATTTCATAAATTAGGGCTTTTTCATAAATATATAATTGTTAAGTGAAGCTATGAATTGGTTTCCAATAAATTTAATTCTTTTCGCTGTTCTTTTTATTTTCTCTGCCCTTTTTTCTTGTTTGAAATTTCAATGACAGATAGTTGAAACAGGGGATTTTGCCCACATCTAGCTTATGAAATGAAATTATCATTACAAAAGCTTGGTTGGTTCAACTGAATGTGATTGTCTATGATCTAAATCAAGTGTTTGATTGAATAATATTAATCCAAGTCAATAGTGTGGGTTTTTCCCCATTATCTTTGAAGTTCCCAGTCTGTTGTAAATTCTTTGGGATTTGGAGGCATTAGAATAATATAGATAATATGATTTAATGACTTGATAATGACATTTAGAGCTAACAGTGTGGAAACTGTTCATAGAGTTTTCAGGTTGTAACATTAACAGTGTCTTTGTTCTTGGTATTCATAAACATTTATTTTTCCTGTCTGGAGTTTTCAGTTTGTAACATTATCAGTAATCATTCCTGGATTATAGGTGGATTGATTTTTCTTTTCTTTTAAAATTTGATTTTATTTTCAAACAACCATATAACCTTATATGATTTATCTGTAGCTAAGATGAAAATTTATATGGCTTTTCAATTTCGTTTTGATATGGATATGGAAATTGAGAATGATTGTGCTTGGAAGCCAAAACAGAGAATGACATTTGATTTGGAACAATGCGTGTATGATTTTTATAATGCATATGGAGAAAGAATGAGGTTTAGTATAAGAAGGGATTATTCTAAGAAGAACAAGTTCACTAGCCAACTTATTTGTAGACTTTTGGTTTGCAACAAGGAGGGATTTCAGAAGGTTAACGAGCGAGACCCATTGGCAGAAACTAGAACTGGTTGTGAGGCTCGACTTTATGTTAAATTAGATAAGTGTACTGGGAAATTTGTTGTGACGGATTTCGAAGAAAAACACAACCATGATCTTGTATCACCCAAGTGTGCCCACATGTTGCCGTCACAAAGAAAGATAACAGCTATCCAAGCAATTGAGTTAGATTTGGCAGCACAATCTGGTCTTCGTTTAGGCCAGTCCTTTGAACTCATGGGTCGGGAAGATGGTAGGGGGCATTGTCTTGGGTTTACGAAATCAGATAAAAAAATTATTTGAGAACCAAAAGATAACAAAGTTTAGCATATGGGGAAGTAGACAATGTGTTGCAATACGTTAAAGAAAAATCTTTGCATAATCCTTCTTTGTTTTTTTTTTTTTTTATGCTTTCCAGTTAGATAATGAGGAGCAAATTACGAATATGTTTTGGGCCGATGCACAAATGATCATGGATTATGCCCAATTTGGTGATGTTTTCACATTTGATCCGACTTACAAGTTAAACAAAGAACATAGACACATTGCATCTTTTGTAGGATTCAACCATCATAGGGAAACAGTTATAGTTGGTGTAGCCTTGTTCTATGATAAGACCGCCAAATCATTTGTATGGTTGTTTCAAACTTTTCTAGAGGCTATGTCAAGAAAAGCACCAAAAACTTTGTTCATCGATCAAGATGCTGCAATGGCTAAAGCCATACCTATTGTTATGCCTGACACGAGTCACTGATTGTGTACTTGGCATTTGCTGCACAATGCATTTAAACATGTTAATTATTTGTTCCAAGATAAGGGGGGTAAAGGGTGTACTAAATAAATTCTTGTTTGACATTGAAGATGAAAATCAATGGAAGTTAGAGTGGGCTGAAATGCATAAATATGTTGTGCATGATAACCATTGGTTGAAATTGACTTTAGTGGTGAAAGAAAAATGGGGTTGGCCATATGTTAGATCAACATGGGCTGCGGGAATGAGTACCACACAACTTAGTGAATCTTTTAATGCTTTTTTGAAGGATTACATTCGTTCTGATTTTAATTTAAATGAATTCTTCATGCATTTTGAAAGGGTACTTTATGAGAAATGATACAAGGAGTTAGAAGCGGGATATGCTTTGTGCCAAAGGTGAAAGCGACTATAAGAATGTTAATTCAAATGAGTAATGTGTACACAAAAAAGATTTTTGAAGAATTCCAAAATGAGTACTTTTGATCCATTGAATCGGACATAGAAGCAATTGAATATACCGAGGCTTGTACCATTTTCACAGTTGTTGATGTTGGTAGAAAACATACAAGGAAAGTGAAGATGGAGAAGGATGGCTCTTTGGGTTGTAGTTGTACAAAGTTTGAAAGGGAAGGAATTTTGTGTTCTGACTCTTAAAACGTTATTAGAGACATATTGAAGATGAAGGAGGTTCCTTCACAATACATTGTAAAGAGGTGGACCAAACAAGCAAGAATGGAACTGTGAAGGACATTAAGGGGAATAACATTCAAGTTGATGTAAAATTCCAACAAGCCTCGCAATATAAGACATTGATGACCGCTTTTAGAGCAATAGCATGTAAAGCTGTTGAAACTAAAGAAACCTATCATTTTGCAATTGCACAAGTCGCTACATTAGGTGCAAATGTTGAATGCAAGTTAAGTGCTCATTTTGGTATTGAAAATGAAGTACGTAATGAGGATGAAACCCAAAGCTTTGAAGTGGATTGCGAAGATGACAATCATATTGTGCAACCAAAAGGCTTGAAGAAAAATGTGACAACTAGTAAGGACAAAAGGAGAGTGAAAGGTGGATTCGAAGTGGCGTTGGTAGCAAACTCAAAAAATAAAAAAATAAAAAAAAATCCATGCTAACAGCTTGGCTTCTTCACAGTCTATTGGAGGTCCAATAGTGAGACCGTCTCCATTATCTATTGGAGGAGATGTCTATATTCATCAACATGTTCCTCCTCTTCATCCTCTTAATCCATCTGTTGCCACAGATGATAATTCCGTGCCTCCTTCGTTGATGTATCCCACATATCATGTAAGTGTTAGTTTCAGATTTTATTATTTTGTTGTGGGTATAATATGACACTTTATGACTCATTGTGAAGCCTAATTTAATGTTGTCCTTGTTGTAGTCAAACAATTTGTGTAAGATGTATGTTGTGCCAAATTGTGTGCCAAATTCAATGCCTCAACGATATTATGGTCAACCAACATTCCAATCAGTAGGTGAAGGTTCATGTGGACATGACATTGGGGTTTGCTATTTTGAAGAACCAAATAGTCCAATATGTAGTCAGGTTATTTCATTAACTTTGGCAATGGATATTGCATTTTTTGTACATTGTTTGGCCCTTTGCTGCTATGTGTTGTTAATGTTTTTTTGTTTGTTTGTTTTTGTTGTCTTAGGCTATCAACGGGCACAAACAGGTGGAATGCACTACAAATTTCGGTAATAGCAGCACATAAATTTCATTGTTTATGAAACTACCATATCCATCTGTTGTTTATGAAACTGCTGTCCCTCCGTTGCTCAAACTGCTACTGTCCATCTGTTGCTAAAAGTGTTACTATCCTTGTTGCTTATTGTGTTGCTGTCCATGTGTTGCAGCAACTGTTGCTGGCCCTGGCCATATTTTGCTGTTGTCCATTTTTATCTTGCTTAAGTTATTTTTTATGTGAACATGTATGAGGTTCTTTGGTGTGAAACTAAAATGTTGCTGATTTAAAGTTGGAGAATATTTTTTAATTTAGTTTAGTATGGAATGTACTTAAAGCAGTGCAAAAGTTATTGAAGTTGGCCTGAAATTAGTGTTGTATATAGAAGTGATTTTTATTGTAAAGTACATTAGGATACTGTTGAAATTGTGCTTTACTGTTGATTCTACCGTTTGTATCCCCTAATTGGAGTCATGATAGTGGTGGTCCTTTTCTCTCTTGCATGTGATATGCTGAGAGGTTTTCTCTTGCGTGTGATACGCTGAGAAATTTCCCTTTTCTCTCTTGCATGTGATATACTAAGAGGTTTTCTCTTGCGTGTGATACGTTGAGAAACTTATCTTTCCTCCCTTGCATGTGATATGCTGAGAGGTTTTCTCTTGCGTGTGATTACGCTGAGAAATTTGCCTTTCCTCTCTTGCAGGTGATATGCTGAGAGGTTTTCTCTTGCGTGTGATTATGCTGAGAAATTTGCTTTTCCTCTCTTGCAGGTGATATGCTGAGAGGTTTTCTCTTGCGTGTGATTACACTGAGAAATTTTCCTTTCCTCTCTTACGTGTGGTATGCTGAGAGGTTTTCTCTTGCGTGTGATTATGTTGAGAAATTTGCCTTTCCTCTCTTGTGTGTGATACGCTGAGAGGTTTACCTTCTTCCTCTCCTATGTGTGATACACAGAGAGATGTTGTGTGTAAGACTCCGGGTATTCTCAGTAGTCACTTTTAGCCTTCTCCGCATGAGACGCAATGAAAATTGCATAATTTTCTTACATCCTTTCTGCATGAAATGTAGTTAGATTTGTATTCACTTGCTTAAAACTGTTGCATGGTATGCTTCATTATAGTTTTCTTTGCATGATCATAAGTTATGTTCAGCTTCTTGCATCGGCAGTTGCATTTTGCCCCTGCCTGTGGGCACATCTGTGTTATTTTGTATGTTTGTCTAAGTCTTCGGCCTTGTCAAAAATGGGACGTCTCTGGGCTTTGACATTCACTCCCGTCACTTATGACTTTCGAGTTCTGTCAAAGAGGGGCAACTGTAGACACTCCATTTTTGACCGACCTTGAGACTCATACGTCACCAGTTGAGCGCTCGGTGATATTGCATATTGTGCTTGTTCAGAAGTTTCAGAGTCTCGGCTGCGAGCCTTGCCTCCGGACTTCCGGACTCTTTTGTGCTTTGCCTCGGTTTGTGAACCAGGCTCTGTTTTCTCTATTTTCTCTTCCCGAAGGGAGGGAGAGGTCTCGTAGATCATCTCTCAGTGGCCATAGGCTACGTTTCGTGGTCGTAGGCCGTTTTGCCCATTTGGAGTCCGGTTTTCGGTTTTTCGGAGCAGTTGGCCGTGTGCATCGGTTCGGGACCGCTTAACCACCTCCGTTTGCTCTAGTTTTTGGCATGCATCTTATTTACTCCCTTTTGAAGGACACTACGCTCCGAGAGACCAACTTCGTGGTCAGACACCACTTCCGGTGCCTAACAGCCCACTTTCGGGGCCCCGAACTGCGTGTTTTGGCTCCCGAACCTTCATTCTGCATTTTTGGGCTCCGACCCGAACTTGAGATAGTCATATTTTGAGGTCCTTTTTATGTTTGATTAAGGACCTTTTGCTGTTTGAGATCTCCTACTGCCACTTGCTTCTTTACCCCTCTTTTAGGCCTTTTCTTGCATGATAGTTTAGGCCTACTTGTATTTATTTTCGTGGCTTGTCATAAACTACAAAGTGTCTTATTTTGAGTCCCTCTTCAACTTTGTTAAAGGCTCTCTTTGGTTTGAGATCTCCTACTATCACTTTCCCCTTTATCTCCCTTTTAGGCCAATTTTGGGGGGAAATTTGAATTTCATTTCCCCCCCATTTTCCCCCCTCTTTTCCACCCTCTTGTGTCTATATAACAAACCCCCCAGCTGTGTTTTAGGGGTTAGAAAATTGTTTGAAGCATTACACTCACAACATCCCTCTCCCTCTCTTCCAAGACTCCAAAATCCTTTGTTCTTGGACCATTTTTACACTACAACCCCTAGCCTATCACCTCCATTACTCATTTTAGTACCTTGGAGGACATTTGAAGAGGTTGAAAGCTCAGATTTTTGGACTAAAAGTTGCTGGAAAGTTGTTCTTCAAGGGTGAGTCCCTATTTCCCTTAAACTTGCACTTTTTTGCATGATTGTTTAGCTTTACTTGCAAGTATTTTTGGACTTCGATCCAAACTGAAAAAGATCATATTTTGAGGTCATCTTCATGTTTGATTAAGAACTTTTTTGTGTTTGAAGTCTTCTTCTCCCCCTTTGTTCTTTACCTCTCTTTTAGGGCCTATTCTTGCATGATATATTAGCCCTATTTTTAAGCATTTTTGGGCTCCAAGATAAACTGTAAAGAAGCTTAGTTTGATCCCTTCTTAAACATTATTGAAGGGCTCATCACTGTTTGTGGCTTTCATTTGCCACTTGCCTTTGTATCTCCCTTTTGGCCATATTTTTGCATGATTTGTTAGCCTCTTTTGCTTCTATTTTTGGGCTCTGGTACGAACTACAAATGACCTTATTTAGACCCTCTATTCATGTTTCATTAA